AATTCTTGAAATTATTATTTTCCTTTTTCCTTTCTTTAATCCAGAATAAAAACACTCAGTTTTTTTTCTTTATCCTGCTGGTTCAAAGATTTCTCTTTAACTGTAAATTGATTTTATCTGAAAGTAATTATGAAAGTGAGGCTTTGAGTAAACCTAGTGTCTTTAAAAGGCTTCACTGCAGTTGTGAGCATGTTGGCTCTACCTTGACTCCTGGCCACTCAACTCATGAGTCAACTGAAAGAACCAGAGTCATTTTGTGTAAGATGGGAGGCAATATAAATGTGATATATAAATAAATAAAATAAAACGTTCAATTCCTGCAGTCTACTCATGAGGAGCAGTCATCCATAGTACAGGTCTTTCCTCATCTGGAGAGGCTCCGCCGGCCAGAATTAATTGTCTGGTCACCAGTCACTGCCACAGTGCCATCCCTACTTCTTCAGAGACACCTTAGTCTGCCATGAATCTCACCTGGAGGCCCCTATTTTTTCACTTATGACAATGTTCACAAATCACACTAAGCCATAATGTTCTCTGGCTTCAGTTTACCATGTTTTGCAAACTCAGCCAGTGATTTGTCAGCCATGGTTTAAACAGCAGAGCTCTCCAGCCATACAGCTCTCATGTGGAATCAATGCTATTCCAAACATCCCTTCTGCATTATTTTCTAGTCATTTTCATTTGGTCTGATTGAATGAAGAAACAAAATCTTTGTCCAAAGTAGGATAACATTTTGGTCAAAGAAGAGGACAACCAGCAGCAAGGTGGATGGATAGTTCTTGTAGCAATTAGTGCACCCTTGGAAGAGCTGAAGGACCAGGTTAGGGACAGATCATCAAGGAGAAACTCTGTCTATGTGGTCACTAAGAGTTGACAATGACTTGATGGCACCTGATCATCTTCATCTCATGAGCTTGATATGAAATTCTTCCTCTCATAGAGCTATGAATGGGGTGAAGAACATGTGAGTACCTTGCCTTTTGTTATGTGATCAACCCTTCCATGGTCTGCAGTTTTCCACATTTCAATTAAATCCTAAGGAATTAAATTCCTCATTTACAGATCGGGAAGCAAAGGCAGTCAGGGAGGATCCAGAGTGTGGGAGGTGTGAATAGCAGTAACAGCCTTGAATACCTTATAAAAATAAAACAAGCTCATAAGCATCATCTAACAAAATCTAAAGCACCCAAAATAAGGTTGCAAGGCAGAATATTTTTCAAAGGGAACAAATATTTCAGCAAAGTACAATACAGAGCTCATCACATTATGACTGGGTTCATATAACATGTCTAACCTGAAAACTGAATTAACCTATTTTCTGGCACAATTCATTGACCAATATACTAACCAAATGAATTACAATGCACAACAACAATAATAGTATAAACCATGCATAACATGATTTTGTTTGAAAAATGTATATGGTCAACTATATTTTAGAAAACACTAGGTGGCTTTCGAACACACACATAATAAAAACCACAAGATTAAAGCTCTAACATACCATCAATGCCATAATGGTCCTCTCTCAAAAACCACACACACACACACACACACGCTGGGTTCACCTCCCAGCCTGAGCCAATGCCTGAGGGAAGAACCAGGACTTAACAGCCTTCTAGAAGGCAAGAAGGGTAGGGGGCCCTCCATACATCAGAGGAGGCTGTTCCATAGGTAGGTGTGGCTATGGAAGTCTCACTTCCTAGGTCCTGCCAGATTGCAACATTAAATAGAGAAGACCTGGAGCAAGTCCACCATATCCAATTTATGGGACAGGTAGATGTCCTTGGGGACAGACAGTTCCTCAAATAATCTGGTCCCATGCCATATAGGACTTTAAAGGTGATAACCAGCTTCTTGCATTGCACTCAGAAAGACACTGGGAACTACTGCAGCTCAAAGCAGTAGCAGTGTAACATGGGCAAATCACAGGACATCCAAAACTGCACGTGCCACTGCATTCTGGATCAGTTGAAGTTTCTGAGTGTTCTTCAAAGGCAGCCCCATGTAGAGTGTGTTGCTGTAGTCCAAACAAAAAGTGCTTATGGCATGAGTGGCCCTGAACAGGGCCTCCCAGTCCAGGAATAGGCAGTACTGGCACACAAGATGGACCTGTGCAAAGGGCCCCCTAGTCACAGCTGCCACCTAACACTTCAACAGGAGCTGAGAGTCTGGGAGGACCCCAAATTGTGCACCAACTCTGTCCGGGGTAGTGTCAAAGGTTAAAGCAAAAAAACCAAAGACAGTCCATTTTGCTAAGGTTAAGTCACAGCCAGTTCTGCCCCATCCAGACTCTCACACCTTCCCGGCACTGAGTAAGTACCTGAATGGTATCATTTGTCCAGCCTGGGGCAGAGATATACAGCTGAGTATCATCAGCATATTGATGGTACTGCACCCCATGCCACCAGATGACCTCACCCAGTAGCTTCATGTAGATGTTGAATAGGAAGGAGGAGAGAGCCATGCCTAGAGGTACCCTATGTAAGAGGACTAGATTTCTCCCCCTCACAAACATCTATTGCAACCAGCCATGCAGAAAGGAAGAAAACCATTGAAGAATTGTGCCTCCCACTCCCAACCCCCAAACCGTCCAGAAGTCAATAGTATCATAGTCAATGATACTGAAAGCTGCAAAGGGATCCAGGTCTAGGATAGATGCCCCACCCTCATTCTGAGCCCCGCAAAGGTCATCCATAAGTGCAACCAATGCCTTCTCAGTACTATAACTTGGCCTGAATCCTGATGAAAAGGATCCCAATTATCTGCGTCTTCCAGGGCTCTTTGGAGCTAAGCACCTACCACTATCTCAACAACTTTCCCTAAAAAGGAAAAGTTGGACACTAGACGAAAGTTGTCCAAGCTAGTTGGGTCCAAAAATGTCCTCTTGAGAAGTGAACCACTGCCTCCTTCAAGGCAGAGAGAACCACCCACTCCTGCAAAGAGGCATTAAACACTACTTGGATCCAACCATATGCCATCTTCCAGGAGGCCCTGACCATCCAGGAGGGGCATGGATCCAGAACACAGGTGGCAGAGCTTACAGCCACAAGGACCCTGTCCACTTCTTCAGGAGCAAGCAGCTGAAACTCCGCTCAGATAAGTGAACAATGATGTGCTCCAGTCACTTTCATAGGATCTGCCCAGCTGGAATCCAACTCAAAGTGAGTCCAAGTGACTTTATCTGACAGATGCCTGCAATAATCTTTACAGTGGCCCCCCAAGGGTTTCCATGGACCCTTCTTGCCAAGAATGGAGCTGGTCACCTCACCAAAAACACGGCTGCCAGCTAGCTATGTTGTGAGCTGCCCAGTGTCATGTATATGAGATGGTCGGCCTATACATTTATTAAATAAATAAATATCTGTGGACACAATAAAAGTGGAGACGTACGCTCTCTTCACCACTCTTATTCCCACAAGGTAAGTCCTAATGAAGGCTGTCACCTATGTTCAACTGGATTCACTCTTTCTCCAGCAGTGCTCCAGGAATCTCTTGCATAGTTCCACCTCCCAGAGCTCCTCCATAAACCAGGGGACTTTACAGGATCCACAAACACAGGGTGCTTGCACAGGTATGATCTGATGCAAGGCCTTAGTCACATGCTAATACCAAACCATGCACCAGAGCTTCAGGAATAATCCCAAATTCCCTCTGAAGAGCCACTGGGTCCACATGAAGCACCTGGGGTGAGCTGATAGAATAGGCCCTTCTTCCCTGATGATATGCAAATATGGCCTTGATTTGATTCTCTAACTGACCTGTTTTCTCATATTGTGTGAATATAGACTGTGTTAATACAGTTATGTGTGCAACAAAGTCACATTGTTTTTAATTAAAATGTTTAAGGCTCACTATATTTAAGGTAGGAGTACAAAACAGCAGTGCAGGTTGCCATCTGCTGGCTAGAAAGAACAGTAAATTTTTAAAGAATAAAATCCCACTTGTGCATGCTGTGCTTGATGAGTAGATGGAAGATAGTTTTTCTCTTCACTTGAAGGCCTCTAATCTGTTAGGGGTTTAGAGCAGATGTAGAAAGCAAGAGGGCTTCAGGGGGAATAAAGGAAGGGAAAGTTTCAGTGGATGTCTGACCATGTTGTCCTAGAAGTCTCATAATCACAGGTCACCAGGACCATTATCAACATCAGGCAAAATATCTGGATAATTCTCTTATGCATCCCACTGAAATTCATAGGAGCATTGTCACATCTAGAATTTATATGGAGTTTTAATAAATTACATAGGTATTCAAGAAACTTCAAACATCATATTTTATCATCCTTACGATGATCCCATCCCAATATTCTATTTATATCGCAGGAGTAAGCTTTTAGGATTGAAGGAGACCACATCTTATCTAAAGACAATTCATTAGGATCATCCAGATTTGAACCAGGGGCTTCCTGAGTCATACAGACCAGCCTCTTAGCTTACCAGTTGTTTTAGAACCTCACATTGTCTAATCAGCTGTGGCCAGCAGCACCTAAGTCCAGAAAAGAAAGAAAAATGTACATAAAATCCAGGGGGGAAATGGAAGAGGGGGAAGATATCTCTCTAATGCTTCCCCCAACCTTTTCTCAGGATTTTTTTAGGGAAGGGGGCGTGCCTTCACATCTCTTGTTGATCTTGGTGTCATTTAGATATCACAATGCCCTGCAGTGATAGCTCACTAGGAGGGTTATGAGAAAAGATCAGCTAGACTCAAAAGGTGAATGCTGTTGTAATGCCTCAGGCCAGATAAACCTGCCTTGGCACGTTGCCGGTTTGTAGAATGTCTTCCCGGACTTGAAATCGGGCCTGCCTAAGACATTATGTACACATACAGATTTTCTTTTAAGGACAGTGGCAATCTAAAATATTTTAAGTCACAGCAGAACAGAAAAAATGAAGTATAGTTTCTGATGTTTAAAAATATCAAATGTCAGGACTAATTTATTGCTTACATATATACATACAACCATTTTTAAAAACTTTTTTTAAACTATATATTATACCAAGAGGCATTTCTTTAAACAAATTTAATAAACATCTCGATACAAACACTGTTTTTAAAAATACCTTACTTTTTCTGTAGTGTTGAGCCTTTTAATATTTGTTTGATGAAAGACAACATTTTCATAGAATTAAAATGGGTTTAAGTCCCACTCTGAAGAGTGGAAACAGCTCCAATTCAATTTTCATAGGATTACTTCACTGCCAATTAAGGAAAGCAGAGTTATAATTTCAGTTAATGGAAATGAGTCTTTCAGGGACTGAACTCATTCCCTGAGGGTGAACTCTGATTTATAAAACAAAAGTTCAGTAATTCTGGACTGTATTCTCAGAGACATTTTTGCTTCTGACTTTGCCCACAAATACTGGTAACATTCAAAAAATATAACCTTACCAGCAACACAGTGTCCTATAAAAACAAGAAGCCGCATGAGTCCTGTGATTTCAACAGTTCATCCCTCTTTGGGCCTACGATGATTTCAGCATCCGTCTGAAGGACCAAGAGCACCAATTCTAGAGCTCTGCGCCAAGCTTCTATCTTGGCAGTCACATTGTCACACACTTTTAAAGCCCTTCCATCTATGCGAGCATGTTCAGGGCTTCCTCCTATCTTCCCCTTCTTAAATTCCTCCAGGATATAGGCTGATGGTGAACCATACATGGCCGCTCTTCTGAGATGCCGTTGTATGACAGTGCTGGTTTCAAACTCTGATCTATAGTTTGCTGCATTACCCATGACAGCAAAAAGGTACTGGCGCCAACCACGTGCCAAAGCATTAAGTACCAATGATTTATATTGTTCTGAAGATTTTGCAAACCAGGAAGAGGCAGAATGAAACTGACCTGTAGAGTTTGGGATTGCTTTTTCCAGTTTTTCAAGAAAACTGAGACATAGGAGCTCAACTGCACCACCTCCTGGAAAAACAGCTTGATCGAGAAGTGCATGATGCAGACGATACACACAGGTCCAAAACTGATCTTCCATGGCCTGCATCTTTGACATAAATGGGCAACAGAGCACAACTGTTACCAACCGAAGTCCTTCTGCTGTTAAAGCAAGTGGGATTTGGCCATCAACCTCCACCAAATTTAATTCCAGAGTTCCACAGAGACTCATGCATATGCCTTTGCCAATACAATGTTCATTCACTTGACTGATGTAAGTCACTCTCTCAGCTCTGGTAATATTACTAAAAGCCTTCAATACATTATGATCTACATGATTAATTATCACTATTTTATGCAGGAGGCATTTTTCTTCTAGAATTTTACAGGTGTCACCTTGTACCAAAATTAAATTAATATTAGACTGAATTAGAATGTCCATTATAAAATCAACCCATAAATTTGAGCTGGCCTTTGAATGAGACAGACTTTCTGAAAACATGCTCATATTCTCTAACCTGTTGAACCCTAAATGGTGATAGGTTTCAGTTAGGTCACCATCTGCAAGAATAACACGAACAGGCATATCCTGAAGTTGCTTCACAGCAGCGGCTTTTGCTGGACATACTAACGTGATATAGCCAGGATGAACACACGAATGACTTTCAGATATACCTGATAAACAGCATGTCACAATTTCTGAAATATTAAATTGGAAAGGACAGGTATCAGTTTGTTGACTGGCACCTGCAAGCTGGCATCTGAGAATGTCCTGAACCAGTTTCATGGCAGATTCATTTCCATGGCTAAGAGATAATGCTAGTTGTTCCAAATCACTGAGCCTGTCAAAATGTTTTGGGCATCCATCTAGCTGAATTGTTTGTTGTGTTGAATGACAGTTATTTACATTGCTAAAGTATCTACTATGGGTTACTTTTGATCTTCTGTTATAGGTCAATGCATCCACATTATAATTATGCAAATCAGAGTTTTTCTGAATCATTCTCTTGCAAACACTGACAACAAAATTGGTGTTCATTGACTCAGATAGTAAACATGTCGTGCTGTTGATGGTGGGTGTCCCTGGATTCATATCATTTGCTTGCTGGATGGTATGATCTTCTAATTTTTCTTCTGATAGTTCATTTTTGAGCAGATTTAAAATACCAGAGTCAGACTTGCTAACTGTTTTTTTAATGTCTGTAAACTGCCAGATACTAGAGGGGTCAGACCTGTTGTTGATAAGGCTCCTGTCACTACACTCTATAGGAATCTCCATTAGCTTTTGCTGTATGTTGTGTAATGATAATGTAATACACTGCACTTGTTCAATGCAAGAGTTCAGACCTTCAGACATTACAGCTACCATGACTGAAAGTGGGACATCATGTTGAAGGCACTCAAGTATAGCATTGCTCCATGTGCTAACAAGGAACAGCAGAGTGGTCATCCCTGTCTTATAATCTTTGTTCTGTGCTTGGATGGCTTCATTAAGAAGCTGCCCCACAGCACTGCTTAAATCCAAATTTTCAAGAAGTCTCAATGGAGAGTAAATCAACACACCACCAGGAATACTTTCATCAACTATAAATTTGGACAATTTCATGGGTCCTAAAAGTGTCCGTCCAGTAGAAGCCAAAGCTGAAAGTTCTTGCAGTCCAATATGTCTCTTTCTGTTCATGTTTCTGAAAGCCATGTTCCCAGGATAGCTGCAAATGAAACACAGATTTGTTGCTTCTGCCTTTTATTTGTTATGGCTTTTATGTTATCCTTTGTACACTGCTGACATGAATGTTTCATGTCTCTCATAGAGATACAGCTGCACCTAGTTTAGACAGAAATTCAATTCGATATCCCTTAGAAATTAGATGCTGTGGTTGGTGTGGTTGTATACTGGATAAACTAAATGCAAGCTTTAGCATTAAGGAATGAACCTTAATCAAATCTATTAGGATTAGTGAGGACTTAATTGAGAAGATTATTGGTGGAATGATAGGAAACAACAAAGACCAGATTCCACTGCCAGAAATGGACACTATTAATTCAAACATTATCCATTACACTTGAAAAGCACAACCCCTGGGAGCTTAGCTGTACACTTGATCTTTGAGCAACAGGTGGGGACCATATTTCAAAGCAAGGTGGAACCAGGACAAAACTAAATTTGATTTGGTTTTAATTTAATAAGACTAACATGATTATTCCATATGTATTTAATTCTCCTCTTCTGTCACAATTTTTAGTGTCCCTTTCTAACTTTAAAAGGCTCTGGGACTGCATAAGGGATTCTATGTAATCTTGAGCCACCAATTGTTCACCCCTGCAATATAATAAGCTTTACAGGGGAAATATATGGATGATTATGTTTCTATTTGTTCATGGTTCTCAGCTTCAGGATAATTGGATTTCATTACCAGTTAAACAGTTCTTTTTCTAAGAAAAAGAGAAAGGAAGCTCTACCTCCAGAATTTTGCCATTAAAAAAAAAAAAACTTTAACCAAACAATTTATTAACAAAATATACAGTGCATGGCATTGCAATTAATTCAGGCAAATTAAAAAAGCTGTTCTAACTTCTAGATGTGCTCTGACTAGGTAGGCAAGCAGTTTCTCTTTATACTAAAACCAAAGTTTAGCCTGGAATCTGCAGAGTCTCTTTTTCTACCACTCTTCTGGTAGATGAACAGAGTAAGTTTTATAGAGCCTTCCAAGAATTAGAATTAGAATTCTGCCATGGTAATATCTATTGCATTTTCCAATAAATGCTTTGGAAGTATCTTTAAAGTAATCAACTTCTTTATTAGCTTGAAAGGTTCTTATATAGAAGAAATAAAATAAAAAAGTACACAGCACAAAACTGGTTACTTCTTTTGGCAATTTTTCTTGGCAACTTTCTCTGCTCATAATCTCACCTTGTTGAAATACTTATTTATATAAGTCTTTTCCATGAACAGCTTTTTAAAAACAAAATCACCAGACAATTGTTTGTGGCACCACTCCTGTCCTTATTTCACATAAAAATAATGAAATTGCATTGCTTTTTTTAGAACCAACAAAGAGAACATACAAGAAACAACATTTAAGCTGGGTTCCTACAACACGCTAGGCTGAAATGCAATCGGCTAGTTTGTGGCTCAGTGTGTTGTACAAATCCAGTGTGGTTATTGTATGGTTCAGAGTGTTGGGTAAACCAAAATAATTACATTAATTCAGTAAGCATGGCTTAGTATTTTATGTTAGCATAGCATAAGATAAACTTTCTCTGTGTTGGGGAGAGGCGAATAACTGGAAAATAATCACAACTGACACAATGGAGCAGCTGTGCAAGTGGGCTGCCAGCTGTTGCAAAGGTGCAGATGTTTCTAGATAGGAAGGGTTGGTGTCCTTCCATGGGCATTACACAGGAACATAAGACCTCCCCATCAGCACTTGGACCCAGAGGGCAGGCCTCAGAGTGGCTGCTACTAAGACAGTGGGAGAACCGTGCCCGCTGAAATAGAAGGAGTAAGAGAAAGCCCTTGTGAGTGAGCAAGCAGAAGAAAATTACTCGTCTTTACCTACTCACTCACTGTGGAAGTCAGGAAAGGAAATTAGGGAATGTCCACATCACCAAAATTTCTCCCCTTCCCCCTCAATCCTTTAGAACAGTGTTCCTCAACCTTGACCACTTGAAGATGTGTGGAGTTCAACTCCCAGAATTCCCC